GTATACAGGTATACAGGTATACAGGTATCCAGGTATACAGGTATACAGGTATACAGGTATCCAGATATACAGGTATACAGGTATCCAGGTATACAGGTATCCAGGTATACAGGTACACAGGTATCCAGGTATACAGGTATCCAGGTATACAGGTATACAGGTATCCAGGTATACAGGTATACAGGTATACAGGTATACAGGTATACAGGTATCCAGGTATACAGGTATACAGGTATACAGGTATCCAGGTATACAGGTATACAGGTATCCAGGTATACAGGTATCCAGGTATACAGGTATCCAGATATACAGGTATCCAGGTATCCAGGTATACAGGTATCCAGATATACAGGTATACAGGTATCCAGGTATACAGGTATCCAGGTATACAGGTATACAGGTATCCAGGTATACAGGTATCCAGGTATACAGGTATACAGGTATCCAGGTATACAGGTATACAGGTATACAGGTATACAGGTATACAGGTATCCAGGTATACAGGTATACAGGTATACAGGTATCCAGGTATACAGGTATACAGGTATCCAGGTATACAGGTATACAGGTATACAGGTATCCAGGTATCCAGGTATACAGGTATACAGGTATCCAGGTATCCAGGTATACAGGTATCCAGGTATACAGGTATACAGGTATACAGGTATCCAGGTATCCAGGTATACAGGTATACAGGTATACAGGTATCCAGGTATACAGGTATACAGGTATCCAGGTATACAGGTATCCAGGTATACAGGTATACAGGTATACAGGTATCCAGGTATACAGGTATACAGGTATCCAGGTATACAGGTATCCAGGTATACAGGTATACAGGTATACAGGTATCCAGGTATACAGGTATCCAGGTATACAGGTATACAGGTATCCAGGTATACAGGTAATACAGGTATACAGGTATACAGGTATACAGGTATCCAGGTATACAGGTATACAGGTATACAGGTATACAGGTATACAGGTATCCAGGTATACAGGTATACAGGTATACAGGTATACAGGTATACAGGTATCCAGGTATACAGGTATACAGGTATCCAGGTATACAGGTATACAGGTATACAGGTATCCAGGTATACAGGTATACAGGTATACAGGTATACAGGTATCCAGGTATACAGGTATACAGGTATACAGGTATCCAGGTATACAGGTATCCAAGTATACAGTAGTATACAGGTATCCAGGTATACAGGTATCCAAGTATACAGGTATACAGGTATCCAGGTATACAGGTATACAGGTATACAGGTATCCAGGTATACAGGTATACAGGTATCCAGGTATACAGGTATACAGGTATACAGGTATCCAGGTATACAGGTATCCAGGTATACAGGTATACAGGTATCCAGGTATACAGGTATCCAGGTATACAGGTATACAGGTATCCAGGTATACAGGTATACAGGTATCCAGGTATACAGGTATACAGGTATACAGGTATCCAGGTATACAGGTATACAGGTATACAGGTATACAGGTATCCAGGTATACAGGTATACAGGTATACAGGTATCCAGGTATACAGGTATACAGGTATCCAGGTATACAGGTATCCAGGTATACAGGTAATACAGGTATACAGGTATACAGGTATACAGGTATCCAGGTATACAGGTATACAGGTATCCAGGTATACAGGTATACAGGTATACAGGTATACAGGTATCCAGGTATACAGGTATACAGGTATACAGGTATACAGGTATCCAGGTATACAGGTATACAGGTATACAGGTATCCAGGTATACAGGTATCCAAGTATACAGGTATACAGGTATCCAGGTATACAGGTATCCAAGTATACAGGTATACAGGTATCCAGGTATACAGGTATACAGGTATACAGGTATCCAGGTATACAGGTATCCAGGTATACAGGTATACAGGTATACAGGTATACAGGTATCCAGGTATACAGGTATCCAGGTATACAGGTATACAGGTATCCAGGTATACAGGTATCCAGGTATACAGGTATACAGGTATCCAGGTATACAGGTATACAGGTATCCAGGTATACAGGTATACAGGTATACAGGTATCCAGGTATACAGGTATACAGTATACAGGTATACAGGTACCAGGTATACAGGTATACAGGTATACAGGTATCCAGGTATACAGGTATACAGGTATCCAGGTATACAGGTATACAGGTATACAGGTATCCAGGTATACAGGTATACAGGTATACAGGTATACAGGTATCCAGGTATACAGGTATACAGGTATACAGGTATCCAGGTATACAGGTATACAGGTATACAGGTATACAGGTATCCAGGTATACAGGTATACAGGTATCCAGATATACAGGTATACAGGTATCCAGGTATACAGGTATACAGGTATACAGGTATCCAGGTATCCAGGTATACAGGTATACAGGTATACAGGTATACAGGTATACAGGTATACAGGTATACCGGTATCCAGGTATCCAGATATACAGGTATACAGGTATACAGGTATACAGGTATACAGGTATACAGGTATCCAGGTATACAGGTATCCAGGTATCCAGGTATACAGGTATACAGGTATACAGGTATACAGGTATCCAATATACAGGTATACAGTATCCAGGTATACAGGTATACAGGTATACAGGTATCCAGGTATACAGGTATCCAGGTATCCAGGTATACAGGTATACAGGTATACAGGTATCCAGGTATACAGGTATACAGGCATACAGGTATACAGGTATCCAGGTATCCAGGTATACAGGTATACAGGTATACAGGTATACAGGTTTACAGTATACATGTATACAGGTATCCAGGTATCCAGGTATACAGGTATACAGGTATACAGGTATCCAGGTATACTGGTATCCAGGTATCCAGGTATCCAGGTATACAGGTATCCAGGTATACAGGTATACAGGTATACAGGTATACAGGTATACAGGTATACATGTATACAGGTATCCAGGTATCCAGGTATACAGGTATACAGGTATACAGGTATCCAGGTATACTGGTATCCAGGTATCCAGGTATCCAGGTATCCAGGTATCCAGGTATACAGGTATACAGGTATACAGGTATCCAGATATACAGGTATACAGGTATCCAGGTATACAGGTATACAGGTATACAGGTATCCAGGTATACTGGTATCCAGGTATCCAGGTATCCAGGTATCCAGGTATACAGGTATACAGGTATACAGGTATCCAGGTATACAGGTATACAGGTATACAGGTATACAGGTATCCAGGTATACAGGTATACAGGTATACAGGTATCCAGGTATACAGGTATACAGGTATCCAGGTATACAGGTATACAGGTATACAGGTATCCAGGTATACAGGTATACAGGTATACAGGTATACAGGTATACAGGTATCCAGGTATACAGGTATACAGGTATACAGGTATCCAGGTATACAGGTATACAGGTATACAGGTATACAGGTATCCAGGTATACAGGTATACAGGTATCCAGATATACAGGTATACAGGTATCCAGGTATACAGGTATACAGGTATACAGGTATCCAGGTATCCAGGTATACAGGTATACAGGTATACAGGTATACAGGTATACAGGTATACAGGTATACCGGTATCCAGGTATCCAGATATACAGGTATACAGGTATACAGGTATACAGGTATACAGGTATACAGGTATCCAGGTATACAGGTATCCAGGTATCCAGGTATACAGGTATACAGGTATACAGGTATACAGGTATCCAGATATACAGGTATACAGGTATCCAGGTATACAGGTATACAGGTATACAGGTATCCAGGTATACAGGTATCCAGGTATCCAGGTATACAGGTATACAGGTATACAGGTATCCAGGTATACAGGTATACAGGCATACAGGTATACAGGTATCCAGGTATCCAGGTATACAGGTATACAGGTATACAGGTATACAGGTTTACAGGTATACATGTATACAGGTATCCAGGTATCCAGGTATACAGGTATACAGGTATACAGGTATCCAGGTATACTGGTATCCAGGTATCCAGGTATCCAGGTATACAGGTATCCAGGTATACAGGTATACAGGTATACAGGTATACAGGTATACAGGTATACATGTATACAGGTATCCAGGTATCCAGGTATACAGGTATACAGGTATACAGGTATCCAGGTATACTGGTATCCAGGTATCCAGGTATCCAGGTATCCAGGTATCCAGGTATACAGGTATACAGGTATACAGGTATCCAGATATACAGGTATACAGGTATCCAGGTATACAGGTATACAGGTATACAGGTATCCAGGTATACTGGTATCCAGGTATCCAGGTATCCAGGTATACAGGTATACAGGTATACAGGTATACAGGTATACAGGTATACAGGTATACAGGTATACAGGTATACAGGTATCCAGGTATACTGATATCCAGGTATCCAGGTATCCAGGTATACAGGTATACAGGTATACAGGTATACAGGTATACAGGTATACAGGTATCCAGATATACAGGTATACAGGTATCCAGGTATACAGGTATACAGGTATACAGGTATCCAGGTATACTGGTATCCAGGTATCCAGGTATCCAGGTATACAGGTATACAGGTATACAGGTATACAGGTATCCAGGTATCCAGGTATCCAGGTATCCAGGTATATTGGTTTTCTACCACCATGGCTGGTGACCTAAAAAATGAAAGTTTTTCTTTTTACATTTAGTAATTCATACAGCAGAAGGAGTTACTAGCCCCTTACTAATTTTGATTTTAATATTCTAATATAAATATAATTTGCCACAACAGAAGGCTCAGAAGAAAGCTACTAATTATACAAATGTATTTTGGGTAAAGTAATAATAAAGTTTTCTTACTACTTATATCTAAGCAAAAATAAATTAAACAAATTAGTATATAATTTAAAATCAATGAATGAGTGTAAAAAGTCCTGGTTAATTACAGACATACTTAAGAAACATATTCCAAAAGTTGCTTATAACAAAACCTCACCGAGAATATAGCAGCCGATGTAGACATAGTTGTCAAAGATTGAGATAAGGACACGGAGAGCCAGATAAAGTTGAAGTGTTGGGGCCACAGCAGCCAGGAAGCCACAGACTGTAAAAAGACATGCGCACACAACCACACATCGCCTCCGCCCGAACCTGTGTGCGGATGACATCAAATGAACACCCACAGAAGAAAGGCAATGTGATGTTGACATGTAATCAGTTCAGAGCAGTATTTTATGAAACTTCAAGTGATTCGTAGATTCCAAATTAGCTAGATCTCAAGGTGTCATGCATACAGGAACAAAAATTTTTATTTTGAGAAGTATATTATTGTTACAAAGTTGCATGACATTTATTTCATACATTATGGAAAACCTCTGGTTATGTACAGAATTTTGGGCACACTAAAACTAAAATATTAAAACTACTTCACACTACACAGCAATAGATGACTCAAAAAATTACACTGGCCTGCTAATTTTAGGACTGACTTGCCATGGATTCATATCCTGTTCCATGAGCTGATTTATAGTTCTATATTTTAAATTAGATTATCTAAATGCTTAGTTTAATAATTACGTTACGAAACAAACTCTGTATAGTAGATGTTGATTAACAGGGTGGTTATGCTCCTGAAAATTAAGTGTAAGATAAAAAGTCATGTAAAACAAACTAAAGAACATAGGGAAAAAATGGGGTTACGTTCCTTGTCCATTCAAAAAGCTAAGCAACTTTTTCTTTTAGATCTCAAAATCTTAAAAAAATAAAAATGATAATGTAAATGTTCTTCATTGTAATGATGTATTATGTTTAATGCATTGTTTAAAGCTACAAATGTTACAGAAATTATATTTCTTAACTTAAATTGTGGTTGTTGGTATTTGATGATGACTCTGAAAGGAGTGGAGAGGGATGCTGTGGCCCAACTAGGCTGAGGTGGATGGTTGTTGATTGTCTGCTGAGGTGGATAGATGTTATCAGCTGAGGGAAATGTCACTAAAATCGATTATTTTACTGGAGAATGGATAAATTCTGTTAAGCATCTCTGGTCTCTTTTACCCTGAAGTGCTTTATATAACTGACAGTAAGGCATCATTAGCTGCTCTAGATCCTGTTTCAGAGCACTGCTTCTAGATTTGTCAGGGTCCTCTTCAGTGAAAAAGTCTGCTAGTTTAGCAGCAACATGGAACTGTTCACGTAACTAATGCAATGTTGTTTCTCTTCAGGTTCTTCTTCATCTTCCTCTGTTATCTACCTTCCTCGTTTCTGTGCATTGATCTCTGCCAACATTTTCTCCGGACTTCTATCTTCACTATTATCTTTTATATGCTCATTCACATCTTCTGCATATCTTCAAAGCCATCAACTGGTAATCTCCTTGCCAGATAAACTATTTCCTACACCTAACTCTCAAGTGAGAGGAAAACCAGGAAAAGAATTCACTACATTAGGCCATAACTGTCCCCAGTCTGCTTTTAAGTTGATTGGGGCCCATAATTCCATGCACTTCTAACATAGCTGATGGCATCTGCAATGCTAAATTCATTCCAAAAGTTTGGTACTGCCAGGTAAGAGTCAGAGTCCATTGATGCAACTAGTTTTTCATCATTTTTCGTGTGTAGTTACACTTAAATGACTTAACCCTTAAATGGTCCAAACGTATATATACGTTCTCTCGCATAGCGCCCCAAACATATATATACATTTCATTTGCCATTCATTCAACATTGAGTCGCCTAGACATGAGAGAATGGGTGTGCACACTCAGTGTGTGCCATATGAAAAAAAATGAGGACGCCTGGGTACCACATGCTCTTTTATCCTTCAAAAAAAAAAAAAAAAAAAAACGATTTTTTTTCTTTCAAAATATTGGGGGACTGCTTGAGAGAACGTATATATACGTTTGGACCGTTTAAGGGTTAATAACTTCATGATCCAGTGGTTGTATTAAAGATGCTGCATTTGGTGGTAATAATATATACAAGTTTTACAAGTGGGTTCACATGCAACAAAGCTTTTGGATTAGTACAGAAATTATCAAAAATGAAGAGAACCTTGAATGCAAGGTTCTTACTGCACAGATAAAAACGTAATTTTAGTAATAAAGTGATGCTTAAACCAGTCAATAAATAAATAAATAAATAAATAAACCAGTTTTATTTACACCTTTTAAAGTACATGGAGTCTTGGAGCAGTAAATGAACACTTATTGTGGTTCGTAGCCACCCTCAGAAACACTTTCACCACAAAACTTAATAATGTAATCTATTATGTAACGTAAACTTGTGGAACCAGCTGGTGCTAAACACACACTTGTTCAGGCCTTCCTCATCACACACTGTTTTATAAAACTCTAAGGCTTTTTTCCTAATTAAAATGAAATTAAGTGGTGCACCTTTCTTTGTTGTCTGTTAAACCCACTCAGTCATTAAGTTTTCTGTTTTATTTATCTGTTGTGATCTGTCATTCTTTGCAGGAGGTGACAACCTGGGTTATTCATTGCACAAGCATATATTTTCTTCATTCATTTTAATTGTCCGAACTGATGCTTCATTAAATCCATAAGCTCTTGCCGTCTCCACCACAAATGCACCACTTTTAAGCTTATCAAATGTCTCAGTTTTCTTCATAACACCAAGACTTGAATTCTTAAACTTTCCTTGCCATTTTCAGCAACACTCGCGTGCTTCTTGGGTATTATGGTTACTATGCATATACAAGATATGGTAATAAAAAGAAAAAAAATCAGTTCACAAACACAGATCTAAGAATCCTACGGGTCATGTATGTATGGATCACCGTCAAACCTTGTTCTAGCATGAGCCACTTCAGGATGTATGAAGCTACAGAAAGGGAGAAGAGAGATTTCTTGACTAGCTAACATTTCTGTGCCTATTACTTAAGCTGATCCACTCTTTAATGTTAATGTCAATAAGTTAGTTTGCGTTATTCTTAATATATCTCCTTTAACTGTAATTGATTTTCACACCGAGGAGTTACCATTTTTTTATGGCGAACAAGACGCTCTGGTGTTGAGGACGCCCTCACAATTCTGACTGGCTAAATTTTGAAAAAAACAAAAATCGTGCATTAAACAAGGTCAAACGTTTGTAGATGAATGGTTCAGAGAACCGACATGTTGATAAATTAGACACATGTGCAACTTTTGGGTATCTTTATTGAGGAAACGTTTCGCCACACAGTGGTGAAACGTTTCCTCAATAAAGATACCCAAGAGTTGCACATGTGTCTAATTTATCAAGGTCAAACGTGTTAAATTTACATGAAACAATGCTAAAAATATGCTGGTGTTTGGTGATATAGGTCTAAAAAAACATGCTAACACTATTAGTTATCAAAATAACACATTACTCTCACTCTCCAGTATGTATACACACAATTATTCTAGATCTGCTAAATCTCAATCAACCATCCTCCACTGTCCATCAGAGTGTGGTAAGCTGTTACCGGTGATTAGCGTGGTTTCTTCGTTCTATAATCTCGTGATACCAGTTGAATAGCAGAATACAGTGTTGTAGTAGCATCTAACCAGTATTATAATGGTACTTAGTGGAGTGGAGTGACTTTCATTAGTTTCTTTTTCTTGAAATGACGAGACTTACTGTGAATTTTCATATAACCTGTACGTTACCACGACGCAATATACACAACGAGAAGCTATTATTACTACAGAAAAAAGGCGTCCTTCCGCCAAAATTTTCAAACCAGTCAACTATATAGATAATATACATTTATGAGGTGGAGAACGGAAAAAACAAAATAGAAAAGCCAATACAGCGATTGGGATAAACAAAGAGGTCGACTGTACGTCATTGTAGAGCTTGCCAGATATCACCGGCTCTGCAACACGCAAGGTAATACTTTTGTATCAGTCAAATACACATATTACTCGGATAGAAAACATTGCCATAATCCTTCAGGGTGGTATCAGCTTTGATTCAGTCCAGATGTTTAATAGAATGACCCACTGATCAAGCAATCGACTGTCGAACCGCGACTGGTCCGGAACCCTTGACTTGGTTCCAGAACCTGACAAGAGGCCGAACCCGACTGGTTCAAACAGTATTCGTTGGACAATAAAGCAACTGTATACGGATGGGTTCTTTGTAGGCGCCCTTATAAAACAAACATGTAAAAATCAGGAACGGACGTAAGCTTCAATATACAAAAAGATTTAGAGAAACAGAAATACAAATGGTGCTGAGACTTCATTTAAGTTTATTAATATAATATTTCAAGAGGTTTCTAGTAAATTGCAGTCAATTCAAACCATTCAAATCATATAAGCTGTGTGTAGTCTGTGGTCAATCAAACAAACGCTTCCACATGAATAAAGTGTCATTGTTGGGGTATTGGTGCACCCCGTTGCAGATAGCCAGAACTAAGCGACACATATTAAAACAAGAAGTGTGTTTGGTTTGCCCTAATGAGGTAATCTGTGGACGTAAATCACAAGGTAATACAAAAGAGATAACATCAAAGCTGCTTTCCATAGAAAACCTGAAGCTTTCTACAACAGATGGGAACATAAAAAGTCTGGGCTGAATGGTACTGCCCTTGATACCGCCATTAGTCACAAACGTAAGCGGAGGTAGGTCCTGGTTGTCAATAAATGTGGGCTGATAGTGCATGTTCCTGAGACAGTAAATTTGAACTGTAGGTGCTGTCCTGGGAGACAGAAATGGTTAAGCTGAATACTGTTCCTTGGGAGACAGAAATGTAAAGCTGAGATTTTTGTCCAGTTATCGGAATTATACCAGGAAGGAATAACATATAAATGAACCTCATTAGAGACAAAGCCATAGTAGAAACAAGTGTAGTCAAAGATAAGATAAAACCAATATTGCAAACCAGAAATACCACAGAAATACAAACCAAAGAGGACTCCAATTATCAATAGTAGGATAAATTACCAAAAACAACTGGTGGGAGCTCCATTGTTGGTGCGAGGAATAGGGGAGTAAGACAGGAAACATGCACCAACAGGAATACAGTCACAGAAACCCTAGCAAACGGAACCAAGCCTGTCACATACTATGCACAATGGGTAACTGGCTGCATGGAAATCTGGAAAAACAATGAGGGACTGCAACTATGACCACCCAAAGAATTCATGCCAATACAACAGGAAA